AAAAATAAAACATGAGAGTTGGTTACTATGCCTAAAGATAAGAAAGCTGTAGGATGTCGATGGATATATACTGTAAAGTATAAAGCAGATGGAACACTCGAGAGGTACAAAGCACGGTTGGTTGCTAAGTGATATACTCAAACATATGGAGTTGATTACCTTGAAACCTTTGCGCCTGTTGCCAAGATGAACACAGTACGAATACTTCTATCTCTTGCTGTAAATCATGGATGGGACATGTTACAATATGATGTAAAAAATGCTTTTCTACATGGTGATCTTGAAGAAGAAATTTATATGGAGATTCCACCTGGGTATCAGCAAGTAGGAAATAAAGTTTGTAAATTAAAAAAGGCATTGTATGAATTAAAGCAATCTCCTAGGGCATGATTTGGTAGATTTTCTTAAGTTATGAGGAAGATGGACTATAAACAAAGTCAAGGAGATCATACATTGTTCATAAAACATTCTGCTACAGGGGGAGTAACAGCATTGATTGTTTATGTGGATGATATTATCGTCACTGGCAATGATAATAATGAACAAGATAAACTGAGAAATTGTTTAATCCAAGAGTTTGAAGTTAAAGAACTAGGAAGACTGAAATATTTTCTTGGAATAGAAGTAGCCTATTCTAAACAAGGCATATTCTTATCACAACAGAAATATGTGATTGACTTAATTTCTGAAACAGGAAAGCTTGACAGCAGACCAATAGAAACACCAATTGATCAAAACCATAGATTATGTGCATCTGAAGAGAGTCCTCCAGTAAATAAGGAAACTTACCAAAGGTTAGTTGGAGAATTAATATATCTTTCTCATACGAGACCAGACATTGTGTATGCTGTAGGGGTGGTTAGTCAATTTATGCATGGTCTAAAAGAAATTCATCTTCAAGCTGTGTACCGAATACTCCATTATTTGAAGAACTCCATTGGGAGATGATTGTTGTTTAAGAAAGGCGAGAAACTCAATCTAGAAGTTTATACAGATGCAGATTATGTAGGATCGATAGACAATAGAAAATCCACTTCTGGCTATTGTACTTTCTTAGGTGAGAACTTAGTGACATGGAGAAGTAAAAAACAAAATGTAGTTGCAAGATCAAGTTCAGAAGCGGAATTTAGAGCAATGGCATTGGGCATCTAGTAATTACTGTGGATAAAGATTATTTTAGAAGATTTGAAGATTCCATGGAAAGGACCTATGAAACTTTATTGTGATAACAAGTCTGCCATCAGTATTGCACATAATCCGGCTCAACATGATAGAACTAAGCATGTTGAAGTTGATAGACACTTCGTAAAAGAAAAGTTAGATAGCGGCCTCATATGTACTCCATTTGTACCAACAAACAATCAAATAGTAGAACCCGATCTGGATGATGCCATTCTACGATACCAAAAAAAATTAGCAGAGCAATCATCCGCCACACATGCTGGTCTCTAAGAATTGAATCTGGTAGCGATGCAAGATGCAGAAGTATCAGGTTGCTAGATCATATGCATTTTGTAAAAAATACCAAAGAGAAGACTCGAGATAAATGAATAACAAGGCACCGTCTTCCTTTCCCCCTCTAAAAAAACTCTCATCTTTTTGAAAATAGATCTTTTAAGGACCAATTTCTAATTTCTTCCCATTTTAACTATATTTGTTTTCTACCATTCAACCAATGTAAAAAAGAAAAAAGAAAGAAGAAAGAAGAAAGAAGAAAAAAGAAAGAAGAAAGAAGAAAAAAGAAATTCATAAAAGAGAATTCCTATCATTAATAAAGGAAACAGGCAGTTATTAGGTAGCAAATTCCCAGCAATTGAAGTTGGAACAGGAAGCAACATCAGCTGCTGAAAAAGAAACTTAATTTTACAAAGATTCGTAATCGTAACATCTACCACCTGGTTTTACAAAGATCCATCGAGATCACTTCAAATGGACTTATTTATCTATATTAACAAAGTTTCTGTACTAAAGTTTGCAAAATGAAGCATCACTATATTGTAGATTTCAATCATCATTATCATGAGGATGAACAAAGGAACGCGATAACAGGTAAAATCAAGAACCTATCTGTTTGCTGATCCAGCTGGTCCCTGTAAAATATTAATGCTCTGTGGGGATTATCTCTACCAATTACAGGTGCCCGCCATCTAATACAATAGAAAACAAATCTCTCTAGAATGAATAGTGGAGTAAAAGTGATGTGCACTTCAATCCAACAGCAGAGACATACCTGCATCCTAATGGATCTGCTGGTAATTGTTCGTCATCTAAAATAGAATCCCCGACAATGGAAGTCCTGTTCTTCTCAACCTTCATATCCCGTATAACTTCTCTTTGTCCTTTACTGGATACCTTCTCTTTGCCCTTTACTAACCAACCTTTCTGGCCGGCCAATCTTTAAATGTTCTCATGCCCATATCTATAGAAATAATAGATAATAAAACCATAAGCATAAAGCATGGGCACACAATTTGGTATCTACTCGAGATACTCGTTCAATTTATGAGCAATTATGTGCAATTTTGATTCAAGAAAAAAACTGAATATGAATACTCACACACCTGCAACAGAATAAGAGGGCCAGAAATCTCATTGGCCCCTTTCTTACTACCTCGGCAAAGCTCCCTCTCCCTATATAAATGAGCGAGGACTGCAGTTCCCCAACTAAATTGCTCCACACTTGACAAATCTCTCAGAAAAGGTAGGAATATCAACTGGACATCAGCTCCGGACTTATCTGGGAAGAGAACACCACCCATCAAACCCAAAATATACGCCCATAGCGTTGTAATGTAACCTCATCTGCATTGGGTGGAGGCTCATGGAAATGAGCTTGCAACCAACTAACCTTAAGGGCTGAACCATGGAGCCCACTTGCATCAGGCCTCAAGCCTAATAGCTCCTCACACTGGAGATCAGTATTTCCAGTCAACTACCCAGCCATTTATTCGTAAACCTAACAATAATGCTACATCTTGTAGTGTGACAGTACTCTCACCAATCGTAAAATGGAAAGTATGAGTTTCTTGCTGCCACCTCTCAGCCAATGCTGTTATCAAAGGCCAATCAATTTGTAAGAACCCAACCCTATGTACCCCATAAAATCCAACCTTGATGATAAGTTGACGGACACAATGATCCAATTGCCAATCTTTGATCATTGCTGCTAGTCGCTGTCTACAAGTTAACACACTAGGTCCCTACAAGTTAGGAAGCTCGTCAATTAAAATATGCAATGTATTTTTGACGTATATACAAGCTCTACAGATAAACTACAAAAGTAGATCAGACCTCCCCCGCCCATATGGCTTCAAATCTATGCTGATTTTGTAGAACAAGAACAGATTTGTCTACTGGTCCCGGATCTAAAAGGCTTTCAACTTGGGCATCACGTGTGGCCATCTCGTCTGTTGTCTATAAAAACACAATGCATATAAAACACTTGTTAGCATGTTAACAGCAAGAATAAGAAACAATCTCAAATGACACAAATGGTCTAGCATATACCTGGTTATCAACAGTGGTTGGTTCTGCAACATTTATGGGTTATGATCGCAGGGTGGCTCTCTTTCAACATATAGCTCCAGACAATTAGTTCCTGGTTGTCGTGCCACGTCAAACATGATATCTACGGACTCATCGTCATCAATTGGCACAGGTATGTATTCTCTACAGGCTGGATACCGACATATTATCTTCAATTTAAACGGTTTCTTGTTGAATCCAGTAACCCCATAGATCCTATCCATCAACTCGTGTGTTATGCCGTAGCTAACTCGGATGGGCTTTGGTGCAGCACCTTCAGAAGAAATGCCATGTGGTCCACTAGTTCTCTTTCCCATTCCAGTAACACATGAGGGTAACACCTTGCCTACTCATCTTCTCCCATTCACTAACTTAAAAGAAAAAGTAATCCAGGCAGATATCCTAGTGAAATAACATGGGCATTCCAACCAATGCAGGATCAAACATTCATGCAAAATGAAAGAGCCACAAGATATCATGATTTTCAAAAGTCTTATGTAATATATGACTTTGGGGACATAATATTTTGGAATCTTTCTAAATCATTTCTTAATGTCATTAACTAATGCACTATCTAATGCTCGCACACCTAAAGATTGCTATACCATTGGCCTAATGAAAAAATTGAGAGCCACCAGATGTAACCGTTAATGATGAATAAACCACCACCCAACCCAAAAGCTTAAACTGATGGGTTGGGTAAACTTAATTCATTTATATGGATTCTCAGTACTCCACCTCACTCGTGGGCTTGGATAATTGCACAAGACCCAACAAGTGGAAATCATTATAAATGGGGAGGAAACAACAATGGAGGGGTTCAAACACAGGACACCTCTCGCTCTGATACCATGTTAATTGATAAGAAAAATAATTATAAATTTACTTAATACTTTAAAGAGTTGATACAAGAGTATAAATAGCAACTACAAAGAAGAAAAGAGAACGAGACCCATGCCTATTAGGATAAGTAAACACTTACCTATTAGAACAAGGAAACCCTCCTAAATAGAAAATTAAAAAGAAAATTAAAAGATAGTAAATATAATTTAACAGTAACAAAACGACGAATTGCCTTCATTTTTTCTACTACCCAAGTCTTAAATGAGTATGGGGTTTCAGGAACACAAGTAAAATATAGAATCAAATAGTTATCAGACCAAAAACAATGTTGCAATTAAATTTTTCCTCCAAAGTCTTTGGAAGCTCACACTAATAAGGCACAATCATAAGCAGCCAATTTAGGTGCAATACAAACATGGGGTCAAAGAAACGAGATTTCTTAAACTGCATGCAGTTTTCTACAGTATTTTAGAAGGATAAGCATGAGATGGGTTGTAATTTTCTTCTGATTCTCGCTAAAAGCTACGTAACAAAGATAAACACACGTCTTATTGGGGGTGCACTAATGTAAATCTCAATATCTTTATCACAGTTCATCTTTATTTCTTGCTCTTGCAGGTAAGACTTTTTAATATCAGATAATTCCCACGACTACCTCAAAACGTTGATAAATGGAAAGCATATATCGTTGGATATTTAGAGTAGAACTTTTGATTTGTTCCATTTTAGTCTTTGAGCTTAAAACAATAACCATTTTGGTCTTGAACTTTTATAATATCTATTTTAGTTCCAAAATTTTCAAAAAATAATCCTTTGGTCCATACTATATTTTTCCACCTAACATCTGCTTCACAATACTTGCATTCAACCTCTGTTGTTTAAATACATGCTCACGTTAATGTATTCATACACATACTCGAACCCACATTGTTAATTTGTTAAAAGAAGAATAAAGATAAGAACCAAAATGGTTATTTTTTAAAGTTCAGAGACTAAAATAGACATTTTGAAAGTTTAATGACCAATTT